ACAATGTTAGCACCGTTGCTTTTTTGAATGTCTGAGAAGAAATGAAAAAAAACCAGAAAAGGCTATCTAAAGGTGTATCTATTTAACTTGTATATACTTATATAAAAACGTGTTAAAATGATTTTAAAACTGCCTGATATTTCTTGTACAATATGTAATCGGAATGCAGAACCTTGAGATCCTGAACAACAGAATCAGTGCATTAACGTTAGTTATAACATTGTGCATTTTGTCTACCAGTTAATTGGTTTAGTCAAAGCCGAAAAACAACAGTTTATAATGACCTACTAGGCTCCTCTGAAAAATGTCAACCTCTATATTTGGCGTAGGTTATAGCTCTGTCTGGCAGTGAACTGGTCATTTCACTTTTCATAAATCCACTGGTGTTGTCTAAGACTACAAATCATGCAATGACTTTGGAGGTCTGTGGGTATGATATCAAAGCTTGTTTCCTTCTGTAAATTATTGAGGGATAACCTAAAGAAAAAAGGCTTACTGTGGCAGTTTGTCTCTTTGACATGTGTGTTTTTCCATCAAGAAATCTATATGTTGGAAGGTAAAATAACTATGGAGAATGAAGTCAGTACCATAACAATTTAGTTTCCTGAATTTACTTGCTGGCTTTTGAGCAGGAGAACAAAGCCAAAGACTACAATTTTTAATGACAATCCTGGCTTTAGTTCTGAGAGACAATTCTCAGCTTGGAGGGTCGGACCATGTAAGAGGTCTGACAGCTCTGGAAATTAACTAAAATTACATTCTGCTGAACAAATAAATTAATTTCAAAACCTTCACTCAAAGAAAGTTTTTTTTTTGTTTTTTTTTTTACTTTTGTTTTCAGAGAAAACAGCTATTAGGAGTGACTGGTCAGACACAAAGCAGAGAGGCAAATGAAGTTACATTGAAGGACACAAAGCCTGTTTACACTGGGTTGTTAAAAGGCGTGGAAACTCCCGGTATGAAGTAAAACATTTAAGAGCGGCATATTGTGTGTGGTGAGGCCTGGATGCCGGTTTTATACGATCTTAAACTGAAACATTGGAAACCAATCTACCTTCTCAGACCATTGATTTATGCTTATGACTTTTTGAATTGACGCGATCCTGCATCATTAGAATCTGCCGGGTGCAGTTTCTGTAACTGCACATTGAGCTGTTATTTGCATCCAGCTAATTCTCCACAGGACACCCGTGATGAGGGAGCAGCGGTTGCTATGAGAGTGTTTCCACAAAGCCTCATTATTACAGTGAAGCAGGTATGTTGGCGGAGGAGAATAAGTTAGATTCGACTCAAAACAAGAGCCCAAAGACCAATTTTGTGGTTGATAAAGCACAATGAATCATAAGTTCCTTCCTGATCACTGTTGACTTGGTTGATATTTACACCTCCCACTCCAACAGGACCAAGTTAGTGCACCATTAGAATCAAGGAATGGAGGAAAATAAAGCAGGTTTTCCTCTAGGAGGACATTTTTGGAACCTGTAAGGACCATCGCCCAGACCCGGAGAAATTGGGCGCAGTTTTATGACTCATTTAATTACTGGTTAACTGATGGCCAGGTCTTTGATGGGAGTCACCTTTGAAAATACAAGCTGGAGTTGTGAGGCACAATAGCAGGGCTGCAGTGATTTCCCCACAAAGGTTATTCTAACACATGGTGGGATACTTAGAAGGATGTGTGGGGAGATTTGAGTTATTACTTTACCTTTTCACCCTGATCTCCCTTTTCACCCTGTTGGAAGAGAAAGGGGAGAATTAGACACAGGACAGGTCACAGGGTTGGGGTTGCTGGTTGGCGTGCGGGCGGGGGTGGGAGTAGAGGGGTTGGTGGACAACTTTAGATTTTGATTGGATAAAATCCAAGTTGGATAAAGAAAAAAAAAAGGATTTTGTTCCCAAAGTCACACCTATGGTTGTCAGATTTTCCCTTCATAAAATTATTTTCAGTATCATTTGTGAAACTTTGTAAACTGTAGTTCCAAAGATTTAAAACATAATAACCTTGCAATATTTACAACTAAAAACAGCCCATAATTATATCTTCTAGCTTAACAATAATAAAAAAAGACAATAATGGCAGGACAAGAACACGAGCCACAAATGTTGGACATAAAGGATGACAGGGTAAAATAATGTTTCAAGCAGAAATAAAAAGGTGACTACAAGAATGAGAGCACACAGAGAAAGTGTGCACCAGACCTTGGCGCCTGGGATTCCGTCCCGTCCTGGGATGCCAACATCTCCCTATTGACAGCACGACACACAGTAACTGTATTCAGTGTGTGTTTATGAAGATTTGAACTGTAATTTAGGGCCTGGAGAATAAACAATGGCTCATTTACAGTGCAATGTCTTTTTTTCCCAATAAATACAATGAAAATACACTCTGAAGACATAATAGAGTGCTTTGTATTGTGCCCAGAAAGAATTTATGCCCTGTAAGCAAAGGGAGGCACTAAAAACACAGATGAAAGAAGAAAAGACTCAAAATACAATCGGTAATTTAATAAATAAACTAATACTTGCATTTAAACAAACACTGTAAGGATCTTAGATGCTGATGCAAGTATTTAGGTCAATATTTTTGAAATATTTGCAAATTTACCTTTGCAGGAAAAAAAAATCATAACTTGCTTATAGAAATGCAACATGTTTCCTAGCTGAAGGTAATAGCTGGGGTACAGAAACTGAAATTGTGTTTTGATGGCTATACCTATGACATGAACCTTAATCCATTTATTTAATCTTAAAGTGAGGCAAATATATATACATACATACATACATACATACATGACCTAAACCACATCCCTATACACATGGCACACACAAAACAGTCCCTAATATCTTTCTTTGCAGAGTAACTTTGCAACTTTCTCCTTGCAGAAGTGACAGCTTATGCTTTAATTTTTCTATGTTTGCAGCTTTTCTTCAGGGTTCTCTTTGCAACTCCCTTTTATCATACTAATCCTCATCACCTTGGCAACCCTTTCCTTATAGTCATGTAATTCTATTTGATCATCTTGAGTAATTTGAAGAATGCTTTTTCACTGCAGATATGCGTCATGGAATTGGTGAACTTTCCAGGCTTTGTGCATGTGCACTTTCCCATAACCACATATGTGCAAATGAATACAGTCTATGTATGTATGCATAGGATGGAGGGAAATCATTTAAAAAACAGCATCTCTTTATTTGTAAAATAATTTTAATCTTTCATCCCTCTGTCTAGCAATCAGATGTCGGGCCCAGCAGCTAGTGTCGGCTTGTTTATAGTAAAACAATCATACAGATTTTCTGATGTGCATATGGTACCGAGAGGAAGAAAGCAAGACAGTCTTAGGTCATCAGTTCATGCTTTGACAATGTAAAAAAGTTTTCTTATTATGCCAGTTATTTGTATGTCCTTCAAATTTCTCCTGAAAACTGGAATTTCTGGAATATTGGACAAAGCTAACTACTTGCTTAGCCGTCACTGTTTTAGTTGTTAAAGATTAGTTAAAGAGAACAGCCAAGTCTATTTGATTCTGTTGGTGTAAAGCTATAATTTCTCTGCCCTTAAAGCGGACCGACCTCAATACATCTGTTGCCAAAAGAAATTAACCTCATGACCTTTGCTAACCTACCACATCATAACCTTTTCTAGAGTAGGAGTTACCCCTAAAGACAGGCAGGCAGCTCTAACCAGATGAAGCCACTTAATGTGGCTAAAATGGAAATTACAAGGGTTCAATGTTTTGATTAAAACGGCAGTCAGTAAGTAGCACAGAATTTGTCAAACTGCGAAAAAATATATATAAATGTACCGGTAAGTTATTTCATTTCATCCCCATAAATAATGTTCGTTGATGTTATTCCAATGTTTCTCATCTTTGTTTTCATTTCCAACCCAATGCCTTGATTTAATGAAGCCTTGTGGTAATGATCAGCGTGTATGATCCATGTGTGGACCCCCCCTTCGCTCCTTTACTATAACAGTGGTGATGATACTTCATGAGCACTGGGACTCTGCATCATTCATCAGACCACATATGGGAGTCATTCACATAATGATGATCCTGTTCCTCCATGACTATGACAGAGTCTGATTAAAAACTAACGTTGATAAGGTTTACCTTAGCCACCTACCCCCCACTGCCCAGTGTGTGCATCGCTGTCAGATCAGTATGATGTCTGACAGTCAACCTGCCACTGCAGAGGGATCAGGCTTTCACTGCCTCCAAGTTCAACTTTCTGCATGAACGAGACTTACATACCATAACAGACTGTTTTATAGATGGATTGCACAGCTCTGGGGTTCTATTTCATGGCTGCTGGCAAACCCAACTCATTTCACAAGTGTGGAATTAAGCCTGTTTCCAGAGTTTGTATAGCTTTCACACTGAAATGAAGCTTCTATACTCTGGTTCCTATTATAGCCAAACAAACCTCTTATTTATCGACCAATATGTGTACTTGAGAAGAAAAAGATGGCTCCCCTAACATCAACTCATCACTAATTCACTTAAACCACTGTTTATTTTTGATATTTTTTTTTTATCAAAATTTTTATCACCTGCACTGTCTCTACTTTACTTGAGAGTAAATTGCAGAACTTAGCTCAGCCAGGCAACAGATCCACAAGCTTCCAAAACCAAACCCCCTTAAGGCTTAGGGTTAGGACTAGGATGCAAAAATGGTTTGAAAATGTAAAAATGCATGTGCGACCTCTTCTAATATAAAGAGAGCTTAATGTGGCTTTTGCTATGGTTATTTTCTGTTAAGATTACTCTTAATACATCAGCATTTTTATGTAGTACTTAGTTTGGTACAGAAAAAAAGGAAAAGCAAGCATGCTGAAAGAGCTGTGTTTCTATATAATTTAAACAAAAGTGTAAACCCTGCAAACATGCAAATTAGCCTTTGTGACCTAGTGTGAGGTGTATTTATTAATCTTATTGCTAGGGATACACATTTAGAGACTGATTTGAAACATTACAGAGGAGGAGGGGAAAGTGTAATGGAAGCAAAGGTCATAATATCAACTGATCATAAAAAAGAAAAACAAATCTATTGGACTAATACAGTCTTATCCTATCAGGTGAGATGTAATATCTAAGAAGATTCAAAAGGCAAAATAAATGAAGCACATCTTGCTAAATGCACAGCTCTGTCACATTTATGGGGTATGAGCATTGTTACAATAACTCACCATTACTTATGTACATGACCTACTAACTTAAATTTTGGGCTGAGCTTTCAGAGGACTGCACACAATCAAGGAGTGTCCCCAGGTAGCTGATCGTTTCATCCAATTAAGCTTTATTATTGAATTGTAACCGTCTACCAAGTCATTTCCAATCACTTTTATAAACTTTATTGCAGTGCAACACATATTTATTTGAAAATGATAAGGCCCCTGATAAACTAATCAATATATTTGTCCATAATATAAAGCAATGATATAATATCAGTTAGATGAGATAACATCAAAATTCAAGCAAGGTCTTGTGAATGACTAAAGATTCTCAAAATAAATTCCAAAACACTGGAACCCCTTATTTTGCATTGCATACAATTTCATCTGAGACATATTTCTTGTGGTTACAATTTAAAGTTTAATAGAAATCATTTATATTTGACTGCTATCTTAGAAAATAGTGGGCATGAACAAATCGGAATACCATGAACCAGGGTTTAAAACAAATTCAAGTAAAACCTTTTTCTGTATTTTCATTTGGACAGGGAGCCCTATATGCAGCATGAAATATCTATGTTGGAAACTCTCTGTAAGTGTGGACATCTGCGTAGGTTGTGACCCTTGTCAAAATTTTTCTTGACATGTTCATAAAAATCTAGCTGTCTGAAATTGGCTGAAGATCAAAGTGAACTACAATATCAGAAACATAGAAATATTTCACTAGAAGTGAGTAAATGTTCTGTACATTTTCTAAACCACACAAATATCAGGCATATAAGCAATAGTGTAATACAAGCAGAAAGAAAAAAACAAAAAAAAAACTAAATAGCAAAATCATTTAGAGTAGTTTCTTTAAATGGCAGTGCTCACCTTCAGTCCATTAATTCCTGGGATACCAGGAGGTCCAAGAGAACCCTGGAAAATAGTAATAAAGGTTTATTGATTTATTTAGACAGATTTTCATTAACATCTTTATAACAAACAGATAAAAACATTCTATAAAATCATCCATTGGAAAAAAGGGGTTTAGATATCAAGACACTCAATAATGCAACATTGAAAATCTAAAAATAACATTTGCCTGTACTCAGGCATTGTATATTGAGTTCTTCATTCCCAGATGGATGTTTTTTGCGAATCCATAGCTACTTTATTGCAAGTTTCATTTGGACATGTTTAAGGCTAAAAAAGTCCATCTCAGTTTCCCATTATTTGGCCTTCTATATACTAAAAGCATGTGTATGCTACAATATCATTCAAAGGAACACTAGAGCTCAGTCTAAGGCTGTGCCTGAATGTCCTCTCTAATCACTATGACGGGCACTATATAGTGGTTACGCTATATTAAATGACTGTCTAAACGTCTAGTGAATGAAAAAAATAGAGGACTCGAAATTTCCTACGATGCACCTTGAAAAGTAGTTATCGTTCATGGCCACTAGACGAGCAGATACATCCCGGAATGCTTTGCGAGGAGAGCTCTCCTCACAAACCAATTCGGGGATTTGTTGTCACAGCGGCCTGCTGTCACCTACAGCTGTCACTACCTGACAGTGGTGACAAATAACAAAAATGGCGAAGGCGTCATGCAGGGAGGCAGGGAGTGAAAAGTAGTGATTATCTGTCTGAACGGTATGTTAACTTATTTCACTATAAAGTCCACAATATAGAGTGCGCTCTCCAAAATGTCTGAGGGATCTAGGGTCTATATATTTTCTACAATGAACTGTGTTCCCAAGAAAATATTGTAATAGGAACACAACTCAATAAATAGATAGAATCCTTTATTTATCCCAAGCTGGGAAATTGCAGAAAATCTGTCAGTTGAGAGGCATGCATGTTGACCCGTACCCAAACTAATATATTTTCTGGAATTTCTGCAGCTTTCTGGTATGAGCACTCGAGAAGAATTTTTCAGACAATACATGACTCATATCAGAAAGGTGTTGAAATTAGTAGTATCCTGAAGCTATCTAGCAAGAAAGCTGCAAACTAAACCAAACTCATTATCATGCAGATATACTTAATAAATAAAAAAGATGAAACATACAGATCCCTTCACTCCTACACTAAAACTTTAAATATTATATAAAGCTGCTAAGTCAGACTTCCGATTTTATTGTAATTTAGGTGCTGCTGCTTGATGTTAAAAGGGAGCTCTCAAATCAATAATGCCTCTGAAAAATGAATAAACTCAAACAGCTTTGTCAGGAGGAATCCTCCAAAATTCCTTTCCCTGACTGAGTGAATCTCATCAGCGGTAACAGGAAACGTCTGAGGGAGTTTCCAATAAATTCAAATATGTTTTCCAGCCCGCTGTCTGTTAGAGTGATTACTCAATTTGTTTTAATAAAGACATGAAAAGCACAATGTTTGTGGGTTATTAGCTTTGTTAGATCAATCTTGTCTGTATTTCTGGCTGTGAGGAAAGTCAGTACATCTGGGCTTTTACTTACTACAGAGTTATTCGTGTCTTTATGAAGTTCCTATCCCATCTTACGGTTTTTTATGTCAGCAGTTTTGTGATAAAAATGCCTTATTGTTATTCTAGTCGTAGATTTTGGAGAACAGGAACAATAAAAAGGAGTCTTTGAATATTTTCACTTTCTCCCACCCCCCTTTAAAAGTACTGAGTAAACATGACTCATGTCGGGTGTTTTATCATTTAATGGCAACCAAACAGCCACCGAGGTGCTGAAACTTGATCGGGGTCTCCATGTGGCCCCTTTGCCAAACAGCAGAAGATCTAATTGAACAGCCTCCGGGCCTGGATTATGAGTCATTAACGCGGCGGTGGATCATCTTTGACCCCTTCACGTACACACCCCCAACTCTTCGACAGATGACGGCGCAGACAGGAAATGTCTGATTGGGTTACACTGAACAAACACTGGCAGCTACCTGATGGTTGGCTACAGCCTCCATCTGTTTCCCACATCAGTCTGTATCGCAGCACTTAACTCCAGGTTCCCTGTTCTCCATCTCTCATTCGTCTCTTTTGCCCCTTTCTCAATGTGTTTACTTGACCTGACTGTGGCTCTTCTGTACCTAATCTCCATGTAAATATTCTAAACAGCCAAGACAGTTAGGTTGAATCAAACAAAAATATCCTTAAATCAAAAACATTATTTTAAAGTCGGAGGACAGTACCTTCTGGTTTATGTCAGAATTCACATCTCTTGGTTGACGTTTTGTAAGGCACATTTTCTGTGCTTTTGCAAAAGGTTTATACCCCTTGCTCTATCTGAACGTGTTGAATAGTAAAGCCACAGTCATGAATTTACTTAACTTGGATTATACTGGGATCAATTCCTCTTCAATCTGACACCCCTCAAAAATATATGGTGTAACCAACTGCTTTCAGACACAGTCATTTACCTGTTAAGTAAATAGACTCCACCTGTATGTAATCTAATATCAGTATAAAACCAGCTGTACCTTAAAGACCTCATAGATTTGTTGGAGAACTTTAGCGAATAAACAGCATCAGGAAGAGGGATACAGCAGACAGGTCATGGATACAATTTTGTTGAAATCATGATTAAGTCATAAAACATATCATGGGTTCTAAAATCTTAGAAAACACCTGTGCAACCTATCATCTGGAAAAGGAAAGAGTATTGGTCAACATCAAACCTACCAACACATGGTTTTCCACGTAATCTGGTAAGTTGGGAAAGTAGACCATTAATTAGAGACGCCAGGAGGCCAATTCTCGGGAGACTGCTGGGATTCAAAGCCCAGGTGGGAGAGTCTGTCGACAACTGTTTGTCATGCTCTTCATGACTTTAAAGGAGGAGTTGCAATAAAAAAGAAGTTGTTGAAAGAAACCTGGGAGAAGTTTTATTTGGAATCTGCCTTGAGCCATGCACTGGGTGGATTGAATGTTTAAAAAGCAGGTGGTCTGGTCAGGTGCATTGAGTTAAAAAGTAAGATTTATTTAATGTGATGGGAACATCATACTTCAGAGATGATAGGAAAATTGATAGAACTAACCGATTGAATACTTTGAGTATGGTATGGTACTTAGTATTGAATACGTAGTAGGGCAGCATCCCCACATATACAGCCAGAGCTACTGTACGATGGAAGGGTTTATTACAAAGCATATTCATATATCAATTTACTTGAGCCATTTAAAGTGCATGATTAAATCCAACTGAGAAGATGCTCTTGTTTCTATTTTAATGAGCTTGAATGTTTTAAGGGATTGTCAAAGTATGTAGTCTTTAGATGTGCACTGCTTGCAGCTGTATTTGTAGAAACAAAAAAGGTACAGAATCAGTTGCACTGAATACGAATGCCTACATTATAAATATGTATCTATGCTTATTTTCAAAAATGTATCTGCAAGAAAATACATATTTCCTCAAATTCCAAGTAATGCAAAACTTTATTGTCATTTATCACTTTCCAATAAACACTTTTGTGGTTGCAACTAGAGAATACCTGAAGATTTCAAGGGATATAACTTCTTTTGGCAAGACACCAAAAAGGCACCTTGGCGATAATTTTAATATAAGTAGGAAAGTTAAACCTTTTTTACATGATCTAAAGAACAGGCAAGTTGATTTTGTGTAACTTACCTTTGGCCCTTGAGGCCCCTCAAGTCCCTGTGAAAGATAAGAGAGACAGACAGAGATTGAGTGGAAGAAAAATACAGTACAGAAAAAAAAACAGTCCTGGTCAGATGAAATAATGCATTGCTCCCAGCCAGCAGTGAGACTGGCAAACTCATGGGAGGATTTCATGCAATAAGCATACGCCCTTCTGGCAAAGCTGAATCACAATCAGCCCCTTGTTTCATTTCTCAAGGATTGACTGAAAATTGTCTCACCCTGAGTCTGTCTTGTCATGGAACTGCACCCTAAATATGAATTCCTAATGAGACCATGGACTAAAACCCTTAGGGTTTTATCTTTTATGACAATCTCTGTCTTTGTTCATTTTAGAAACAACAAAAGTGTGCCTCGTCTTGGCCATGCAAGGCTCCAAGTGCAGAGTCCAAGAAAAGGGAAAAGTTCAGTACCTAAATGGGCCAATATTTGGAAAGCTTTACAGAGATAATCTGTCAGAAAGTGCAAAAAAGGCGCCATGTTTCTGAGATGTAAATCAGTCATGAATGTGTTTGGAATAGTGCCGTTCATCGCTGTTAAAAGGAAGCCATGTTAGATCGTCAGCTTTTTCCTAAGTTTGTGGACAAAATGTTGTAAAAAGAAGACTGATGTCTTGGCGTATCAAAGCAGTTCATTAACACCTTTTAGTTCTGGCTGCTATGACTCTCCTTATCAGCCAGCTTTATGTTGCTTTGGGCTTGAGACAACATGCCATTTGGCACTTCCCTTGCAGCTCAGTTAAGGCCAGACGGACCCTTCGCCCTACAAGACCTCAACGGCAGCAATGTTTCAGCTCGTGTTTGCATTGATGCAGTATAAATGTCAAAAAGATATGGTCCCTTATTGAGTTTAAAACTCTGCTGGGCCTGTGTTACGAGAAAAAGTTCCCAGTGAGGTAATATTAAAGTTGAAAAGTTTGTCTGTCAGAGCAAACGTCTGTGCAAATCAAGCATGGTTTGGTTGGCGCCAAGTTATGACTTAATAATGATTGGCTTTCTGGGAAGGAGCTGCTTGTTGGATCACTTCTTGTTAAGTTTTTGTTGATGAAGCAAAGCGTTCATCACATAGCTCAAGGTATCCCATTTTCCTATTTACATTTTCCCCAACATTCTCCCTTTAAGGTCTTGTTAGCAGCAAGTTCTCACACACAAAAGCAAGACCCGCTCAGTTGCAGCTCTTTTATTGTGCATTCCATCTCCACTAATAACAAAAACCTCAGTAAAGGACTTTCATTACTCTATCTAGCCAAGAGAAGAAAAGGTTTTCCTCCTGCATGCTTTTAAATACCTTTGTTTGCTAACTTCAGTAGGGTAAACATGTTTATGACCCAATAGGTATGTGAGAGCATGTACCACTTGCCCAAGTGCTAATTAACTTGGCTACATCTGAGACCACTCAATAGTTAGTAGAAGGAGAGGGGATTTTTCAGAGTCAAGTGCCCTCAAGGAAGTCCGGATCCTTCTCAAATCAAAGTGGGGCTGAACATTGCTTGGTCTTTAGAGTAGTCTTAATGAAACTTTGAATGAAAGAATTCACCACTATAATTTATATGCAGGATTTTACACTTTAAGATGTACAACAAGATGCTTATTGTAGTCGAGCATGGAAGCACACTTACAAATGCTGAATGTTTTGTACCTCCATTCATGGCTTTTGAATTGGCCAATAATGTGGCAGTGACTTGGTCATTTCCCACACTTTTTTCCGGCAGCACTTAAATCCTATGCTTGTGAAAAACTGCAGAGTGAGCAGCTCTTGCTCCACAATAAAACATAAACAAGTTTGGGCTCATCAAAGCTGAATGTAAAACATACTGAAGTTGGGCTTATTATGTTTCTGAAATGTACCTCAGCTTTACAAACACAAGCCACTTTGTTAGGTAATTTCGTAGTACTTTGTACTAAGTTGGACCTGTTTCTGCCTCCAGAGCGACCTCAAATATTCGTGGATTAGATTAAATGAGGAGCATAAAACGTTTTTGAAAAATTTTGATCAACTGTGAACTCAGCCTCTCACAGCTGTAACAGGTTTCCCTGTTAACAATATTCTATTCAAGCTGCAGAGCAACTGGATCTAGATCCAGTGACTGTTAGTGCAGTGAATTAACTGTAAAGTTTAAGAGACAAGTTTGAGATGATTTGATGCTGCTTAGGGTATCGATTGAAAGATAGGTACAATATGGTCTACACAAAAAGCAATACAATTACACCACCAAAAACAAATGAGGTAGCTTGAAAAAGGCAAGCGGCATGCTTTCATGTTTTCCTGCAAAATTCTGACCTTAAAGTTGCAATTGAATCTATACTTCTATACTTTCCCTCTTTCGTTTCCAGAATACTGCAAAAATTAGAAAAATCTTTTCCAGGGGTGATGCTAAAAAACAGGTTAATGTGTTTATTACTTCAAGGCTGGACTATTGTTAATATTTACTATCAAGAAGTCCAAAAAATGTAGTCAGAAGCATTCTGTTCATCCAAAATGCAGCCACAGTTCTGATGAAAATTAAAAGGATATATCATTTTTTTTTTTTATCTTAGCTTCCCTTCATTGGCCTCCTGTTAAATCCAGAATATAATTTAAAATCCTCATTCTCACATTTAAACCCCTAAATAACCAAGCTCTAGACCTGTAGGTTTACTATTGATTCATAGAATTTATAAAAGTAAAATGGAAAGAAGATCTTTTAGTTATAAATCTGTTTTCTTGTAGGGGTAATCTTAAAACCTTTATTTTTGATAAAGCGTTTAGTTAGAGTGGCTCAGGTTATCCTGAGCTATCTCTGTAGCTATGTAGTTATGCTGCTATAGGCTTAGACTGCTGGAGGACATAGGGGTCACTTTACATCATTCTGCTTGATTTTATCTCTATTTTCCCAATCTGCAGTATTATTTATTTCAACCCCTAACTTTATGTTCTCTCTGCTTTTTCTCATCATGGTAGCTTGCAATGTATTGCTATGTTTTCTTGCAACCTCATTAAAAGTAAAAATCTATTAAAATTCTTTCTTTAAGCATTTTGTCCATCCTTATAAATGAATAATTTTTGAAAAATGTTTATTCAACATGTTAACTTTAGACCAAGTTGTAGTCATCAAGTAAATTTCAGACTAGAAAATTTTCACAAAAAAAGACTTAGACGGCTCATGTCTTTAAGTTTTTCACTTAGGTTTTGTGTCTGTGGGTGTGTTACGGTTAAAGTTGATATTAAGATATAGCACATGTATTGCATTGCATTGCTGTAAATCACCTGTACATAAAGTTCAGTTTGTTTAAGGCTTCTGCTAATAAGGACTGCTGGGGTAAGTAAAGTATACAAATACATTCAAAGTAACAGCTACTGTTA